CTCGGCCCCTACGGCAAATCTGAGGGTGAGGGTAGACAGGGAACATACTAGAGGGTCTATTCGAATTATCCAGGGTAGTCGCAGATTGCTACAACTTCTGTAGTTTCAGAAAACGATTTTTCAATTGATATGTTCAATACTTGTCTGGTCAACTGTAATTTTATGAATCTGAATCTGGTACAGATTCGAATATGAATCTAACTTCAGCCACATGTGGCGACTTCCGGTATAACCGAAAGTGCAAGAAATCTGAAAATATTTTAGTCGAAGAGATCGTAATTGATAATACTTGAGTCTGAATTCTCAAATTTTTATTTTGGTTAGAACCCCAGAAATGTCTAATGATCTGTCTCGCTGAGACACCTGTATATCCAGAAAATTCTAGCAGAAGGAGGCTATTTTAAACAATATTTGTAATATAGTGTTTTTAAAAAAAAATGTTGCAGTTAATTATGATATAAAAATTAAAACTTTAAAGTGTTATAATTTCGTAAATAATTAAAATAGGACATACTTATGTTCATTAACATTTTTTTTTTGGTAATTGGATTAGCTATCATATGTCAAAGTTTGATGGTGAGCTAATAAATCACCTGTATACTGTTCGCCCCAATTTCTAACTCTTATAACTCGCCCCAGGGGTTTTATTAGCACATATAAAAAAATACATAAACCTGATTTTGGCTTATATTATCACTATACCAAATTACAACGAAATTGGTGAGTTCTGACACTTCCCTTGTAAGTTTATGACGCAAATGGGTTAAGTTATAAGGATTTAATACAAAAAAAAATGTTGCCTGATAGCAATTGCGGACTTCCCATGTGTGATTGAAGGTTAAGAAAATATTTATTTGTTGATTTTACCAACGTTTTTGCTTTGGTAATTTAGCTTTATGATGTTCAATTTTACTCACTCAGCTAATTGCCAAAGAAAAACCATCGAAATCTAATATCTTATTACATCAATAAAAAAATAAATTTTTAACACACCCTTATCATAATTGGATGTTAAAAATGGATGTTGCAACACTTGGTTTATTGTTGGTCTATCTCGAGGGTTATGAGCCAATATTTTTCTGATTAAGCTCAATGAAATTGTGCTTAATTTTGACCATGGACTGATTAGAAGACCACTTTCTTTCCTAAATGTAACATAGTCAATTGATTTATCTGATGGTTCATCCCATGGTAGTTCTAAATTATTTAAAAAAAAAAATAATTTAAGAAATATCTTTTTTATTTCGATTAATTACCCACCTCCAGATAACATAGCTATTAAAACGATTCCACATGACCATAAATCTGCTGGTTCTGCTTTATACGGAGATTCCATTACTTCTGGGGCTACATACGGTAAAGTACCACATCTAAATTAAAAAAACATCTTTTAGAATAATGACTTAACAAAGAAATATATTTACTTTTTATCTAAAAGTCTTTCTTTCCCTCTCAATCTAAAAATAGTGGCCATACCAAAATCACTAATTTTAATAACACCCTCTTCATCCAATAAGATATTTTCTGGTTTGATATCTCGATGGGCTACACCCTTGGTGTGTAAATATTGGACTCCATCAAGGATTTGTTTCATATACTTTTGAGCCTCGAACGTAGGCATCCCAACATCAGGTTCGATTTTATTAAAAAGTTCGCCCCCGGATGCGTACTCCATAAAAATATAAACAGTTTCCGGTTCTTCCCTTTGCCCAAACAACCTAATTATATGCGGGTGAGCTAACACTTTATGGATTTTTACTTCTTTTTCGATTACTTCTTTACTTGTTTTATCATTTAAATTAATTATTTTAACTGCTACCGCTTGTTGTGTTGTTTGGTTCACTAATAATTTAACTCTATAAAAATTAATGGATGAAAGTAGGTGAAATCAATACTCAACAAGTTATGGTGAATTTAACTCTTATTAATTTTGATTTAAAAAAGGAAATTTGTTAAAACTTACTGCCCAAAAGCTCCTTCTCCTAAGGTTTGAATCATTTTCCAATTTTCAACAAAAAACTTTGGACTCTTATCCATTTTTTATATTAAATTAACAAAATATCGTAACATTTAACGAAAATTAACGAAAAGAGAATGACTTAAACTTTAAATAAACGTTTTAAACTTAACTTTAACAGATTTTTTTTTTAATTATTTACAACCTATATATCGATTGGAAGTTCAAATGGAGTGAAGTTGCTGTAATGATCTGAAGCTAGCTGATTACATCGGTGGTTAAAGTCACAAGAAATAATACTCATAATTATTGATTTCTTTATTATAATTATTTTTAATAATGTAAAAGTAATTTATTTTCGATGGTTATTAAAACCAATTGGTTTTTAAAATCAAGTATAGATCTAATTTAAAGAAAATTATTCTAATAATAGAAATGAAACGGTGTGACTGTAGCCACACAACGTGTTATTTGTATTATGACTAATATTTCTTGGAAGTTTATCTGGTTATTTAACTAAAAATATTATTGTTGTGTGGAGGCGAAAGCAAATCGCAAAATAATTCTTCAGTTAAGTGCAAGTATTGTATAAAATCGTCGATGTTAATGCTTCCATTTTGTGTCAAAAAAGTGAGGTTAGTAATAAAATCAATATAGATAATAATCATTGTTATAAATATAAAAACTTGAATGAACGTAAATAATCACAGCAATAAGATTTTTTTATTATGTGAGTTTTATTAGGTGGATAAAATAAATTGGATATAAAATGGTTAACAAATTTGTTTGGCGGGAAAATCAATAAATTTAAAAATGAATCGACCAAGAGTAATCGGAGATTGGAAAATAATCTCTCAATTAGGAGAAGGTGGATTTGGAGTTGTTACTTTATGGAGAAATACTGAAACAAACGATTATTTTGGTTAGTAATTATTTATCTTTCCAGTACACCCACATAAACAATCACATGCAGCCCACTGATGATAACATTGTTAAAAGTTATTAAACATAAAATGTGTTATATTTTTTAATTTCTAAGAGTAAAATGAAAAGTAGTATAATTTTTCAAAGCTATTTTTTGGTGGGAATTTTAAAACCAGAGAAGATTTTAAGTAAACTGTAGTTAGGAATTTAATTACTTATTTGTTTAAACATAATAAAAACCAACACTTTATCCCACATAAAATGCAAGATCAATATAATTTGACATTACACTAAAATCTTGTTATAACAGATTAATATGGGGAAGGCAGTGCCCCTTATAGCGCAATAAAAATATACAATAATCTAGCGCTGAATAACAAATAAAAATTCCGTTTAGCTTGTAATAACATTCGTTATTATTGGGTTTTGCTTAGTGGTTATACTCAAAAGAACTTCCATTTAATTAACATAAATATTTATTGTAACATTATGACGACGTTGCAGTATCATATCCTATTTCTCCTATTACAATTAGTTACGCTATTCTTATAGTAAACTTACTGCTAAAGTAGCACAACAAACCTTGTCATGTTTGTTGTACTCATCTTATTAAATAGCCTTATTACTCCTAACCTACTTAATATTAATAACATTTATTTAACTTAACAATTAGTCTTACCTTACAAGCTGTACCTCTCTTAAGACGGCTGATAGGTGATAGGTAGCATAAAATATCACTATGGTGCATATTTCTATTGAACTAAAACTAGAATTAACACTCAACCTAGAACTAGAATCATTCAGGTTTAGCCGTCTTGGGAGACGTGCAGCTAAACCCGAATGTTTCTAGTTCTCCGTCTAGCGTTAGTTCTAATTTTACATTAGAACTAGAATCATTCAGGTTCAGCCGTCTTGGGAGACGTGCAGCTAAACCCGAATGTTTCTAGTTCTCCGTCTAGCGTTAGTTCTAGTTTTACGCTAGCACTGTCACTAGAACTAACACAAGACCTAGAACTAGAATCATTCGGGTTTAGCCGTCTTGAAAGACGTGCGGCTAAACCAGAATGTTTCTAGTTCTCCGTCTAGCGTTAGTTCTAGTTTTACACTAGCACTATTACTAGAACTAATACAAGACCTAGAACTAGAATCATTCGGGTTTAGCCGTCTTGAAAGACGTGCGGCTAAACCAGAATGTTTCTAGTTCTCCGTCTAGCGTTAGTTCTAGTTTTACACTAGCACTATTACTAGAACTAATACAAGACCTAGAACTAGAATCATTCGGGTTTGGCCGTCTTGAAAGACGTGCGGCTAAACCAGAATGTTTCTAGTTCTCGGTTTAGTGTTAGTTCTAGTTTTACACTAGCACTGTCACTAGAACTAACACAAGACCTAGAACTAGAATTATTCAGGTTTAGCCGTCTTGAGAGACGTGCAGCTAAACCCGAATGTTTCTAGTTCTCCGTCTAGCGTTAGTTCTAGTTTTACGCTAGCACTGTCACTAGAACTAACACAAGACCTAGAACTAGAATCATTCGGGTTTAGCCGTCTTGAGAGACGTGCAGCTAAACCCGAATGTTTCTAGTTCTCGGTCTAGTGTTAGTTCTAGTTTTACACTAGCACTATTACTAGAACTAATACAACACCTAGAACTAGAATCATTCGTGTCTAGAAGGAAGTGCGGATAAACCCGAATGTTTCTAGTTCTAGGTCTAGTGTTAGTTCTAGTGTTACACTAGCACTATCACTAGAACTAACACAAAACCTAGACCTAGAATCATTCGGGTTTAGCCATACTGAGAGACGTACGGCTAAACCCAAATGTTTTTAGGCGGCCGACAACATCGCTAATTTTTCTAGTGTAATTTTTGCTTAAAACTGACTAATAGCAACCGTTCTTTTTGCCGCTTCAATTTGAAAACACTCCTCCGAATTAAAAAATAGAGTATAGAAAGAATAATAATTGATTAAATTTATTTATTTTCTGTCATTAGCGTTGAAACAATGTAAAATGCAAATGCCAAATAGTGTAAGCCCAAGACAAAAAGAACGATGGAAACAAGAAGTGGCTGCAATGCAAAAATTAAAATGCGATTATATCGTGGGTTTTAAAGAGCTCCCTGATATGTTATTGATGGAACTTAATAAATATAATCCATCTAAGCTTCCCTTGTTACCAATGGAATATTGCTCAAAAGGAAATTTGAGGAATTATTTGAGAGAATGGGAAAGCCGCCGAGGTTTATCTGAAACAACTACAAGAACGATTTTATCTGATATTTGTGATGGTATTTCGTATTTACACAGCTGTGGTATCACGCATCGCGATATTAAACCTGAAAATATAGTTATGCAACACTCTGATGAAAGACTCGAAAAAATTATTTATAAAATTATAGATCTGGGTTACGCAAAAGAATTGGGTAATACTCTAAATAGTTTAGTTGGGACCTTACCGTATTTAGCCCCCGAAATTTTTCAACAAGATAAATACACAAAAACTGTTGATTATTGGTCTTTTGGGTTAACTTGTTACGAAATAATTACTGGTGAATTACCTTTTTTACCACGTTGGGAACCTGTTCGAAGGTATTCTTTAAAAAAAAATTCGAAATTTAAAATAAAATTTTTATTAAATATTTTTTTCAGATTCATTCATATAAAAGAAAAAAAGGAAGATGATATTTGTATTTTTACAATAAAGGATAAAGTTGTTTTTTCAAAAGAAATTCCAAGAAAACTCTGGATTTCGACATGTTTTAAGAAAAACATCGAAAACTGGCTCAGACCTGTTCTCCAATTTGATGGTAACAAAAGGGGCTCGTACAAAAATATCACAATCAACGTTTTGTCACAAATGAAAGAAATTTTGTTGAAGAAAATTGTTAAAATATTATTTGTTTATGATTTAACTATATACAGTTATGAAATCACCGAATTTTCGACATTTAGAGATTTAAAGGAACTTGTTACTTCTAAAGGTTTTTTACATAATCAATTAGTTATCTTATGCGACAACCAAACGGATTTTTATAATGATGATGATAAGATTATGGAATCCATTGAAAATGTAAATTTATTTGTTTTTTTAGTGTTCTCTAGATAATCAATATATTATGGGGAACTTAGAAGTGGAAAAACTATTTATACATTAATTAGACCAGGTTATGCATCACTTGACTAAGCGACAAATGAATAATGTTGAGAAAAACGGAATTTTCGGTTTAATCTCTCTAACAATATAAGACTTCTTAGAATAGACTATTTTCAATAGTTTGAAAATTGTTTGGTGCCTGGATTAAGATTCGTGTAAGAATGTTTGAAGAAAATAATCTAGAGTTTGATTTTGTACTTTTTAAACTGGTTTTTATTTTATATAGAATTTAAGTCTAACCAGTTTCGGCCCTTGACCATCTTCAGACACTCTCTACAAATTAAGATCTCTCATCTTATCCATTTTACAAACAAGATTCTTAATTTTTCTTTTTGTTTTATCAAAAAAGATCACATATCAAAGTCAAAATCAGATTATTATTTATTAATTTACAAAATTAAAGTTTAAAAAGTTGTAAAATGAAATTTAATGCTATTTTTTAACAAAAGAAATATTAAGAAACTAAGAAAAAATTCAAGAATCATCCTGTGGCTTAGAAATGATCCAAAAACACGTTAAAAATAAAAAGAAAGTGACTAATACTAGACTAACTTCAGTTATAAAACTTCTTTTATATGATAACTAACTTCAGGTTTAAAATGTCAACCTCAATTTTGACATGTTTGTAATCTTCATTAAAAATCCTTTAAAATGAGTACAAACACGACATATTTATCTTCAATATTAATGAAGTTATGGTCAACTTCCGGTTAAGAATGTCAACGTCAATTTTGACATATTTGTAATCGTCGTGAAAAATCCTTTAAAATGAGTCCAAACACGACATATTTATCTTCAATATTAATGAAGTTATGGTCAACTTCCGGTTAAGAATGTCAACA